ACCCTAATGTAAAATAGTTAACCCAAACTAAAAAAATTAAAACATAGAATTAACATCGCATATCATAAAAGCCGATTAGTTTCAAGATCAGCAAATCAAAGTAAGATTATTATAATTGACAACTTGTACTTACAAATGAAAGAAAATGATTACGAGATTACAATAGAAAACACTATCAAAGATATAATGAAAACACAATGGATACAAACTACCACCAATATCATCTTTTACATCACTTGACCTGAATCCTGAAGACACAACCTTCTCTTTTTGCACAAAAATCAGCACCTACACCTTTATTAAGCACAACTTCATCTCTTCTAATTTTACGAATCTCAAGATCTAGATTGTTCAAAAACTCTCTTAGTTCCTCAATCTTCTGTCCACCAACACAAATACCAATCTCTAACTTATTGTTTCCACCAACTAGATTAGATTAATCAAACATCTGAATGAAGAAGAGAGATTCTCATTGTAATCATTTTCAGTTGCCTTGAGACATTTGTACTTCCATCTAACGTAATTGCAGAGTTTTCAAAATCCCCATATCAATAGCAACATATTTCCAGTGTAGAGCCTTCTCGATCCCATCTAATATATTTGCAGGGTTTCCATCTGCTTCATATCTTTTAAACAGATTCACCTACAAGATAAAGCTTTCAAGCAAATCAATAGCAAGTAAAATAAGAAGTAAAAGTGTGATTTAGACTTGGAAGAATATGAGCATATAACTAAATAAAGATTTGATTTCAGGACACAATTTTTACTACATCAGGACACAATTTAGACTTAGACTAAATCAATACCAAGAGAAATCCAATTTTCTAAGGACACAAATCGAGTAGATCCTAAGATAAAGATTGGTTTCAGGATATTAATTTGTTCAACATATTACTATGTAAGAGTTTTGTATCTTGTAGAATCACAACACAACCTAATTATCCAAAGTCAAACACAAACTTGTAGTAGTGAATTCTAATTATCAAATATGTTAGTTCTAAGCTTTCAAAAACTCATGGACTCTGCTTAATCGATTTTGTATGCATGCAATCAAAAGTGAACAGAGATACTTAGAATTTGCAAGCAAATAACAAAAGAGGAAGGATTTGATATGACCCAATATCTTACTTGTTTCTTCATTCGATGTAAAAGGCTTGATTTGAACTCATTGCTTGACGGCTTTTGCAGATGGAACATGAAAAGCTCTCCTTCGTCAACCACTTCCTCATTAAGCTCCTCCGTCGTCTTCCTCATTAAGCTCCTCCATCGTCTTTGCTTTGATATCTTTCAATTCCGCCTCTATATAGAAATCATCACCACCGTCGTCGTCGAGGGTTTACGGGATCCATATAGCATGCAGAAACCTGGTGCTAGATTCTGATACCGAGATGGTCGAATTCCTCCGATATCAGTGACGACAAGATCTACGACGGTGAGATCGCACAATTTTATTAGCCTAAATTAAGTCAAAGGGTATTTCAGGAATATGATGTAAAAATGATGACACGCTTGCAAACTTTTCTAAATCATGACATTTTTGTATGGAATTTTTTAAAAAAAAATTATTTTTTTGGATATTATTTTTTTGAAAAATATATTTATTTGGTTTTTTTTTATTGATTTCTATTTAGGTCTTTACAACTTCTTACTATATTTCGAGATTGTCCTCTTTCTCAAAAGTTACGAGAGTTGCAGTTATAGTGTTGAGAGATTAGTGAGATGCAGAGATTGAATCATAGTTGGTGATTTGATGATACTAGTTGATCACATAGTTGACAACCAGTGTTAAATCATCTTCGAGGAACGAGTACGGTTGGATGATCTTAAATTAGAAATTCGATTCCAAACGAATCGATCTACTTCTTTGATTATCGTGCCTGCAGATTTGAAGGTACTTCGATGAAGTCTATTACTCCTCTCACTCCAAATCAGGTACATAGTAGCCTACCAAGCAATCAGTAATAGCATCTGTAGCGGCTTAGAAGGCTTATGGAATTGTAGTTGATTGAGTAATAGATGCCAGTTTCACTGGGGCTGGAAGCTGCATCTTCTCGAAGTCTCATCCCAAATAGTCCAGGTGTAAGAATAGTCGAAGAATAAATGGTCCCTCGATTATATACAACTGTACAGTCTCCACCTAGCTAAACGATCTCTTGTTGGGTTACTATTAAGAACCGTGAACCAAGCAAAGCTTTTGTGCTTTAGCACTCCTCCTGAAAACCAAACCTCTGTATGCAAGGTGACCAAAGGTCTATGTTCCTTTCAGTAAGTTGTAGATTTCACTTGTAGAGAAGTTGTCTCTTTTGATATTACTAGGATATGACCTGCGAATTTATTTTTTGTTTTACAACTTATTAAATTTAATAATTTATTTATTTAGTAGTTTAGTACAACTAATTCTTTGTAGTTAAAAAGTAATATTTGATTTAAAATAGAATAGATTAATTTTGTGATTTAGTATTAATAATACTTAAATATATGAAGTGATTACCAATGACTTTAATATCGATAGTTTTCATTTATTTAGTTTTTTTAAAAACTTTTTTATGTACATATATGTTACCATTATATAAATCATGTTATCTAAATAATCAAATATGATTTAGAAGATAAAAT